GAGAAAGAAAAAAACGCAGAGAGCCAGAAGGGAAGGAAGCTTGTGGAACGAGTTGAAAATAGAAACAGAGAGAGCGTGAGCAAGAGGGAGAGAGATCCCAAGGTTCAGTAGAAGCTGAAGGAAGATGAGCCCCAGAAGAGTGGGGGCAGGAGAGAGAGAGAGAGAGAGAGAGAGAGAGAGAGAGAGAGAGATTCATAAATAAAAATGAAAATTAAACCTTAAAAATTAAGGTGGACAGCTACAGAGGAAGACACTCAATAGATGATTTGCCTCTATAAGTATGTAACAGATTAAAGTTGTTATAACCTGATGTCCTCATGAGGTATTGTCTATGATGTAAAGAACCTGTAGGAACAATCAATACTTTATTCACATGCAGCTCTTCTTTTCGTGAGGTGGTTAACCCTCCCCTTGATTCTTACTTGTCAGACCCTGACCAAATAGCAAGCAGCAGACAGGCACTCCTAAGGGAGTGTGCAGTAGCTGAGGTCAGTTCAGTCCACTCGGCATTTATTCCCCAGCTTCCTAGGCAAACAAAGACATTGGGATCTACTGTCAGTCAGGAATCCACTTGTGAGGGGAAATATGAATCCTTAAGACAGGTCTAAATATTTATGGTACCTAAGGAGAAGCAGTGATATAGGCTAAGTAAACTAGTGCACCTCACCAAGTCAATATTAGTTGACTGAAGTATTATATTGTTCAGTAATGAAATACGCATATTTTCCTGGAATAAGACTTTTTAGATTTTGCAATTAGTTTTGCCCCAGGAATGAGCTAGATACACTGTCTTCTTTTGGTAAGTATTTCATATTACTAACTCAAATCCTTTACAAGAAAATTATCATTGCATGAATGATTTTAATAAATACAAATACCAAAACCAACATGTGTCAGATTTAAGAATTACAGGTATAGTGACTGGGTCTCGGGCTGGTGAGATGGTTTGGTGTTTAAGAGCACCTGCTGCTTTTCCAGGGGGCCTGAAATCAATTCCTAGCACCCACATGGGGCAGCTCACAACTGCCTGTTACTACAGGTGCAAGGGATTGGATCCATCTTCTGGCTTTCATGGGCACCAACACACATGTGGCATACACACAGAGACACACATATACACATACAAAATTTTTAAATAACCAGATCTCAAGTGATAAAGTTGTATAGTTAGGCTCTCACAGAATGAAACTTCCAACCCATGATCCATTGCCATGATTTCTAGCTTTCCTAGACATATACATTTCAATAAACTACTAAACTATGTAAAGTAGGCTTCTCAGGAAACATAAAATATGTCCAGTGACTTGCTAGTCATTTTAGGAGGGAGTTTCTTTGGAAAGACACAGAAATAAGTGAAGGGGGATTCTTTGTATCATCAGATTCTGAATGTGACATGTCTGGGTTTATGTACACGTAATTTTATAGGCATGTAGAAGGAGAATACCCCCCCCTTAAATTCAACTCAGTGCAGGGTCAGCTATTGTACATATGCAGGAAATCTAGAAGCTATAGCAAACTTTGCTCAGCATGTGGCCGAAGATCCTGGGCATTAATATTGATGTCTACTCCTCCACAAAAAAAGTAGAATTCTGTCTTCATTATCCTAAGTTTTGACTTTCCTGTTAAGGCAAATACACCTGAGTTGGCCTGACCTGAATAACAAGCTTCATGGCTCAGGGTGAAACAAGTCGCCTTACCACAAAGAGACAAAGAATTGATTCATTATGCTACCTGTGACTTTTTTTTCTCAGAGGAAGTAATCTTTGTCAAGTTAAAATCTCCAATAGACTCATAATATGAGACACTTGGCACAGAATCACATGCTAATAGGCATTACTATCTTAAGTTTGGAATGTGTTTCCATCTTATTTTCTTAAGCCATTTTAGGTCTGCAAGTGCAGCATTTTCTTTTCTATTTAGTGCACTCTATTGTCAACCACATACTACAAAGAAGAAAAACAAAATGTGAGAAAAGAAAAAAGTCATAAAGAAAAAAAAATGTTGAAAGGAAATTGTTCTGACTCAATATTTTGAAAAAATAAACTGTTAACAATATGGGTGACAGCAGGACTTATCTTACAGTCGTTAAAACAAATCAGTCTTGAGAGGCAGCATCAAAAGTATCCCAAAGTACTGATTTTCAAAACACAGTGACCAATGTGATCACATGTAAGCACTGTTCCTCTATGTGTATCCACCTCACAGCAATTTTACCTACATGAGTTCTAAAGAAAAGAACAGGCTGGGAAGTGTTCACTGGTCAATAGCCTATACATTGAAGTCATTGATTCTCTGTACTATTTAATATGTCAATATCTATCTCCTCTTAGGAGTCCAACAATAAAATGGAGATGACTAAACATATCTCCCAGGTATGCTTCTCTAGAGTATTGTGAAGTCGATGATATGTACCACTTGTTGAATATTGAAAAGCTAAGACTCCATTTGATGAATGATCCTTTTTTCTTGGCTCCATTGGAGCAACGGAATGGCAACTTTCAAGGGAACTAAAAGCAACAGTAAAGTACTATACAACTTATTTCATTTCTTTTTCTTTTCTGTTTCTGTGTATGCACATGTATATGTGTTTAGATGTATATACCTTTGCATGCATGTGGGATGCTATTTCTTCCACTATGGATGTCTACTTTATTTTAAAAAACAACTTTGGTTTTATTTATTCTTATTTTACATCCAAGAGTGTTTGTGCTACATGTATGTAAGTGAATCGCTTGAGTGAAATGGTGGCCAGAAGAGTGAGTCTGATCCCCTCAAACTGGAGTTATGGACAGATATTAACCACCATGTAGATGCTGGGAACTGAGCCTGGGTCCTCTGCAAGAGTATCCAGCATGCTTAACTGCTGAGCCATCTCTCCAGCCCCTCTACCATGTGGTACCATACATATATGTGTATATTTCCTCAATGTATATCTTTATTGAATTTTTGTGTATTTCATACTTCTTAATCATAATCAGATCTTGTCTCCAACCTGTGCTCCCCAAAGTCGCCCTGCTGGATTTCATGCATTCTGTCATATATATTAAGGCCTATTGTGCTGGATAGCTTTAGTGTCAACTTGACACCTGGGTTGAGAGAGCCTCAATTGGGGAATTTCCTCCATTGGACTGGCCTGTGGCCATGTCTGTGGGGCATTTTCTTGACTGTTGACTGATGTGAGAGGGCCCAGCCCACTGTGGGTAGTGCCACCCCTGGGCAGGTGGGCCTGTGTTGGATAAGACAGCAAGCTGAGCTGGGACCAGGGGAGCAAGCCAGTAAGCAGTGTTCCTCCATGGCTTGTGCTCCAGCTCCTGCCTCCATGTTCCTGCCCTGAGTTCCTACCTTGGACTCCCTGATGAACTGTGACCTGGGAGATGTAAGCTGAATAAACCCTTTCCTCCCCAAGATGGAAGCTGTCAGTGTTTTGTCACAGCAATGAAGAAACAAACTAGGACACCTATCAAGTCAAGTTTGTGTACCCAGATGTCCCTCAGTGTAAGTTCATCCTCTGGAGTTCAGTTTATCTATAGTACTCCCCTTACAGAGGATCAACTCTCCCTCACCAGGCAGTAATCAGCTGTCAATAGTTCTTTGGCTAAGGTTGGACCCTCCTTCCCATTTCCCCAGTTCTATGCTAAGTTTTTGTCTGCTTGAGTTTGCATGGGTCTTGTGCATGCTAACACCATTGATTGTATCTTTGAGGCAAGTTCTCACATTTGATTTTAGAGCTCAAAAATTGACTAAACTGACTAGCTAGTGAGTACAGGGGATCCCCTTGTCTCTACTCTCCACCCAAGGGCTAAGGTTATAGATGTGCTAGACCATACCTGGAGCCAGAGGTACAAACTCAGGTCCTCATGCTTGCCTCTTCTTTCCCAACTGAGGCATCTCCAGCCCTCCTATTTTTTTTTAAGTAGCTAAACATTTCTTAATTTTATTTATTATTTTTATTTTATGTATCTGAGTGTACTGCCTGCATGTATTAAGTACACTCATGTCTTGCAATGCTGTCAAGACCAGAAGAGAGCATCAGGATCCCCTGGAACTGGAGTTATAGACTGTTGTTAGCCACCATGTGGGTGCTGGGAACTGAACCCAGGTCTTCCTCAAGAGCAGGCAGTGCTCTTAACTGCTGAGCAATCTCTCTCTCTCTCTCTCTCTCTCTCTCTCTCTCTCTCCCTCTCTCACTTTTTATAAAAGAATTTGGAAAAGGTTTTGGTGTGGAAGGTGTTGAGATTGATTTTTTAATATAGACATTTCAGGGTTTCTACTGTCCATTTTCCTTTGTCTCTGCTAGTCTTTAACCTCCACTACCTGCTCAGAAGCTTTAAGTCTCTTCAAAGAAGGATCTCCTTTGCAGGTGTGAATCACTCTATGTGTAGCAACATTGGAAGAAAGGTGAAATTATTCAGCCTCTCTCTACCAAGTGACAGCTGCATCCATCAGAGTAAAATCCTTACAAAAGAAATTTAATAGGTAGACAGTGATCTGGCCGAAAACAATTTTAATAGTGATTAATATTCTACTGAGAATCAAAAGCCTTGTTGCCAAAATTTCCCTGGAAGACGTCATTGTTTACACCATTGTCTGGGAAGAGCAGCTGTTTGCCTGCACCGCAGTCAGAGGCACAGTATGCTCACTGAAACATTAGCAAATCTTAGACAAACGTGTGCTGGTTAAAGCTCAAAGTTACTCCAAGAACAGGTGTGTCTGGGGCAGAAAATAAAAGCCACAACGGTAAATTGGATTGTAAATAAGGCATAATTTACACACTATGGGCTGGGGCTGCATATGGACATCTATAGAGAGTGTTCTAATATTTATTAATAATCTGAGATAATCACAGTGTGAATATCATGGCAATAAGTTTCTCTACAGGCCTCTTACATTGTACCACAGTTATATTTGACTGGCACTGATGATTCATGTAAGCGATTCTGCCAGAAAATGAAGCCATTATCTTCTCTAATTATCAAAACATTTTATTTACTCACTCTGTGTTTGGGGGACATGTAGAAACTGTAATGCTGTTGAACACTGACTTTGGTGAGTGAAGATCCATCATCCTTAGCTTTCAATCTTCTCTTTTAAAAAGCCAGTCTTGTGATAGCAAGATGCTGCCCTCCAGAGAGACCTCATATACTATCAGAAAAGGAAGATGCATGAGTTGGTATTGCCTTGTTACAGAATACATAGAGATATCTAAAAAACTGAAGCAAACTTTTCTTACCATGCAGAAATTTTACTTCTAAATGTGGGACAAACTAAGAGATGGCTACAAGATTTCATAGTTTAAATTTGAGGAGAAAACTGGTAATAACTTATGGTTCATAAACAGACTCACTAATAAATAAGTGTTGGCATATTCCAAAAATGAAATACAATATATTGGGTAAGATGAAAGAAGTAAGAATTCATATACCAAGCACTAAATTTCAACAACATTAAACAAACTGTAAATTAGAAAATGAAATAGTATGATACCATTTCTACAATGATAGGTAGTAGATAGATAGATGATAGATAGATAGATAATAGACAGATAGATGATAGATAGATAGATAGATGATAGATAGATGATAGGTAGGTAGGTGGATAGATAGATGATAGATAGATAGATGATTGATAGATAGATAGATGTAGATAGATGATAGGTGGATAGATAGATGATAGATAGATAGGTAGATAGATGATAGGTGGATAGATAGATGATAGATAGATAGATAGATAGATAGATAGATAGATAGATAGATAGATGATTTTCCTATCCTTACCTCCAGAGTGATGGGAATAGAGTGAGGCATGAATCATCACACCCAGTTTATATGGTACTGGGATTGAACCCAGGGCTTCCTGAATGTTAGGCAAGCATTTTCTTAGCTGTGCTATATCCCCAGCCCCACCACTTACACATTTATGACATATAATCAAAATAATACAGCATGTTGTTTATGGACATAAATATATTCATGAAAATCATAAAAACATATATATATATATATATATGGATAGTACATACCAAAGCAGCAATTTTCTCATAGGCATGATGAGGTATAAATGCTGTGAGGCAAGTCCTTCAAAGGGACTTGAATTATGTTTGAAATAATTTATTCTTTGGGGGGAAAAAACATCTCAGTTTGGGATGAGAGAGATGGTTCATCAGTCAAGAGCACTTGCTGCTCTTGTAAAGGATGCAGGTAATGTTCTGAGCACCCCCACTGAGTGGATCACAACTGCCTGTATTCCAGGGAATTCACTGCCTTCTTCTGGCCTTCACCGCACCTGCATGTATGTGGCACAGATACAGTCAGTCAGCCACACATACATACATATAAAACAAATTAAAAAGCAAATCTTAAAAAGGAAAATAAATGTTCATATATCACATACATTTAGAACATACAAAGTTGAATATATTCTGTAATTTCTAGTATTATTAAATTAGTCAAGTGGGGAATTCTTAAAGATGAGGGGTTGTGTGGCACACACTATACGGCCACTCGCAGAATGAATAAAAAGAAAAGTGATTTTGAGTCCCCCTCATCATCTTTCTAAAATCCCCTGCCAGCAGACAGAAGAGCCTGGATCAACTCAGCTTTAATATTTTGGGATTCAAAGACCCTGGGTATGGCCATACCGCAAATAACCTTCTTCTGAGCTTTCCATGACTCAGAAATCTGCTGACATAATTCTTTTCAGTTACACATACAGATAAAAGCATGCCTTTTGCTTACAACTGAGAAGACCAGACCGTCAGAATTATTTTTCTTTAATAAAATAACGGGAACAAGGGTTCAGTTGTAATTGTACTATCTTTCAGTATTCTGAAGAGAAAGTAGCTCACCAGGACTACAAGGTTAACCTCAGAATTTATGCAGAGGCTGCCTGAAACTCAGTTCACTTTCCAGCAGCTGTGCAGCCGGCATCTGAGACCAAGGGCTGTCAGGAATCTAGTCTGTGAAATGTCTGTGTACTTGCTAACACTGAGGGTGAAGGGAGAGTAGGAGTGAGGCATCAACTTCCTCTGAAGTGGGGAAAGTCTGTTGACCTTAACTTGATTGTAAGCTTCACATAGGAGAAATCGTTACGGTCCCTTATTTTGTTAACAGTTGACAGTTTTCTGGTAGCTTCCAATAAACACAAAATAAGTTGATTTATGGTCAAGCAAGAGAGTCCCCAGATGCATGCAAGAAAGAACCAGGATTTCTCGTGGAGATCCTCGAAGAAATTAAACCCATCTTTTCTTTTCTAGATATAAAGCTTTTAGGAGCCAACTCTAGGAACCCACCCTGACCCTCATCATCACCACACCCACTTGTCTCTCTTCCTTTAAATTTTTTTTTTTTTTTTTTTTAGCTTCCTATTTCTGTCTGATACCAGTCAACCACCTTGGCTCCTCCGGAACCCACATTATCAAACACCCTGCAGTCCCTGAGTAAGCAACGTGCCAAGAGCCCCAGTGAGAGAGTCTCGGAGGTCGGACGGAGGCAGGTAAAAAGGTCATCCTTGAGAAAAGGGCACAGGGTCTGAACAGCAGAGGCGTGCCAAATCCCTAAACAGTTAAATCAGAAACCCCAATAAGATTAATAGCCGTCAATCAGCCTTCCCTGCTGGGGAAATTAAATCTCACAGTCAAGTTTTCCTTTCTCCTCCCCTGCCTAGGGGAGGAAAAGACATCAGGCATCAGGTTAGATCATTGCCAAGCTGTCCATGGGAAAGTCTCTCTTCCTAAGGCATCTGTCTTCCAACTCCTTTAGGCATGGGCTCAGCCGCATTCTTCGAAAACCTGGTTTAAATGCCTGTATCTGGTTCCTGGATGGGGAGAAAGAGAAAGGGAAGGGCTAGGGATGTAGGAATACAGGGCTGGAGATGGAGAGAGAGAGAGAGAGAGAGAGAGAGAGAGAGAGAGAGAGAGAGAGAGAGAAGAGAGCGAGAAAGATCCTTTTCCTTTCCCACCCGCAGATAGCCAAAGTGCACACAGCAGATCCGCTGCCGGGGGACTCAAGGAAGCGACCCAGGACCCGCCCAGGCGACTCTTATAGGCGAGCTTGGGGCGGGCCTGGCCGGGGGCGGTACCGCGCAGTCCTCTGCGCCTATAAGGAGCTGTCCGCCACCCCGGTGCTGAATCCAGCTCTCTCGCCTGAACAAGGTGCATTGAGGCTATTCTCCTACCTGGGTGCCTGGAACCGCCACTCACTTTGGATTTGCCCCCTGTAAGGAGGGGATCGAGGAGAAGAAAAGGCGGGCGAGGAAAGCGAGGACAAGCCAGCGACAGTTGCGGGGACTGTAAACCTCAGCCACAGCTCGCGTCTCCAGGAACCCCCTGCCAAGGTTTTCCTGGAGCGTCTGGGGAGCGGGATGGAGTGAGGGAGAGTGTCTCTCCAAGGGGGGGTGGGAGGGGGCCAGGTGGCGCAGAGGAAATAAGAGAGACAGAGGAGAAGAAAGAGAAGCCAAGGCTGGTGTCTGTGAATTTGCGATTCGGTTTGAAGAGATCGCTCACTCGGGGGAAATGGATTCTGTATCAAGGCTGACCAGCGTTTTGACTTTGGTGCTCTCTGGCTTGTGGCATTTAGGATTAACAGCATCAAACTGTGAGTACCCGAAGCCGGGGAAGGGAAGATGATGTGGATTACGATGGCACTGGGGATTATTATTCACTACCTAATTGTGTCTAGATAGAGGGAAAGAGGGGGGGGGGAAAGCGTAACAGTGTGATTCCATCACTCCAATCACACCAAAAGTTAGCAGCGCCAGATCCTGTGAGCCTGTCCTGCTGGAATTCCTGCCCTTCTTCGAATCACAAAGTTGTCTTCCCTGCCTCCTAGCTCTTCTATGCTAAATCTCAGCCAAGGATTTTTTTGAGAAGGGCCCGTGTTTGCCCAGTAGGTGCTAACCAGGAGCCAAGCTTCCAGGTCTAAAGACGCTCCTGAACCACCAAGCTCTGTGATAGCTGCTCTCTGTGACTGCAGCTGCCACAGATTTGCAGTGTGTCCAACCTACCTCCCCCACCCCACCTCCAAATATCTTGCCGTCTCCACTGCCTTAGGCAGAAGGCTTTAGCTGGGGCGTCTTGCCACCAATGGGCACCCGTGTAACATGATTGGGAGTTTTGGCCTAAGAAATATAGCCTGATCTAGTCAACTAGGAAATCAGTGGTTGCCCCATAATAAAAGAAAGGGCTTTCATGCACACCCCACCCCCAAAATTCTGATGCCAAAACACACATAATGAGATTTCTCTAAGTGTGCTCTCCCTCCTCTCACTTCTCACTTCAGCAAGTGCAGGGCATTTAGTTTAATAGACAGGAAAGCTTGACTTCTGGAGACCCACCACCTGCACTATGTATTTAAAAAATTCAGTTTGTCAAACTTGAACAAATCGCTAAAGCTATGAAGCGTTCAAGAATAATTGCTCAGGTGCCTCTCTAGGCAGAAGAAGGGAAGTTTTCTCAGCCCCAGGAACTTGTAAATGAGAAAGGATGCAATTGAGACCCCTGTGCTATTTGCAAGGATGGTTTATCAGGGTTCTTCAAGTTTCTGAGCATGCTCCTTTATTTCTATCCCTGCCAAGAATCTCAGAAATAGTACCCAGATTAGAACAGTTTTATTTTATTTTTGTAATATGTACTACTATCAATGTCAGGAAAAGATGTAAAGACTTATGACTGAAGATCACTTCTGCCTTATTTCCCAACTCTTGGGTCCAGGAGGACTTAGAGGGTCTTGTCCCAGCATTACACCCCCAAGGGATGACAATGAGACAAATGCTGAAGCCAGGGCAAGTGTTTCTGTGATCCAAAAGTTGGGAAGTCCGTGGTCTATAGTTATAAACATTTTACGAAAGTTTGCATTCTGAAAGAGGATGAAGAAGGCAACCTTCTGTAACAGAAGGAAAATCAAAATCAGCTTAGAACCATTTCAAATAATATATAGAGGTAAGTAAGTGTCTGGTATTTTCATGTACTCTTCTGTTTTCTCCACCGTTTCCTTTCTTCGCTTTCCTCCTTCTCTACTTCTTTTGCATCTTCTCCTTTTGTGTAATTATTTTCATGACGCCCAAGAAAAAGATGCAAGTGGCTTAGTAAGAGGAAGTTAGGTATGCCATGGAGCTAGTTTCTCTACCTTCTGGAACACTAGAGGTCAGTGTTGTCCAAATGATGCAAAGGTGTGGCCATAAAGCATGTTTTCTCCTTAGCACATCAGCTTATCTAGAGAGAGTGAATACTTTGAAGATCCACAAAGGTGAGGGTGAGGAGTATGGATGAAACCGATAGAGCACATTCCACGTGTGTTTGGCTTGAGATTCCTCAAGCAATATATTTTTTTTTGGAAAAAATATATATCTTGGAATGGCATATACTATAAATTAATACAATTATGGTTAATATATTTTAATATTGCCCATAAAACCTAAATGGCATGGGTTTAAGACTTAAGCATATCATCAGCAAGGCAGTTTATGAAGGTCCAGTTCTGAATGTTTAAAATAAAGTTCATGATAATGACCTTTAGTGTTTCATGAGTGACAGTTGCTTTCTCCCATTTCCAACCAACATTTCAATTGAGTGTGTGTTGCTTGCTATATTCTGGGAGTCAATGTCCATAAGATACAATAGTGAGTGTTTATTATACTGTGAAAACTGTATCAATTTGGTGAACAATGGAGTAGCAGCAATTACTTCTGAACTCCACACATGTTAGTGGGCTTCAGAACCTGTGAGGTAGTCCCCTGAGGGCAAGCAGAACTATCACAGTCTCCAGGTCTTTGTGGTTCTCATCCTTTATTCATTAAATTTAGATACTGGATTTGCTATGCGTATTCAATCTTCTCTCACTTATATGTCTATTTTGATGAGTTATGAATTTCGAAGAGTCTTAAGATGATTTGTGGAAAACATTTTATAAGGTTGTTCTTCCTAAATTTGAAGGAATATTTCATGTCTTTTGTAAGAGCAGCCTTGAAGATAGATCATTTTCACAGGTTCTTTCATAGGACACAGTTACATTTGTGGGATTTCTTCAAGTACAAATAACTTTTAATTATTTTCACCCCTTCATAAAGATTCTCATAACATTTGTGCGAGAGAGAGAGAGAGGAGAGAGATTAATTTTCTAAGAATCTGACCCAAACTTGAACATTTATCTCCATTGGAAAAAATGAATGCTTTATCCAATTACAGATTTTATAAGTTTCTAATTAAGCAAAATGAAAACCAAGTCAAGTTAGAAGGGAGGCAGTTACAATATAGATATTACTAATCTATGCTGAGAATATAATTACCTACCAGTAATAAAAAAAAAGAAAGCTCCAGAAATTCTCCCATTCCAGGCTGTCAGGATATTAAATAGCTACAGCATTTCCTTTTGGTTTATCCTGAGGGGATGGGTTCATTTCAAATATAGATATAATAGGCCAATGTTAAATGAAAAAATGTTTCCTATATTATCATCTCCTTTGACACAAGAAGCTACTGTGTGACTTGAGAGTTGGTTTAAGTGAAACTAGAAATTTAAAATTTAAGGAGTTTTAGTCTTGGCGTCTCATCCAGGGATCAAATACACATTGGTTTTGCAGTTTCTGGAACTCAGGGGTTCAGTGAAAAGCAGCACTTGAGACATGTGTCTCCTCCAAGCTGAACAGCAGCTTCATGCCTTAATAAGGCTATTGTTTCAATATCAGACAAAGTTGTAAGACTGTCATAACAGAAGTCTTAACATTCATAAGAGAGAACAGATGTACATGGCCCACACTGTGCTGCTTTCCCTGTGTTTTTAAGAAGAAACATGTTACATGATTATCCATAAATTTAACTTTTCCGGAATAGCACAGAATTATAACCAGCACCTTCTTGGTATTTCATGCTGCCCATTAGAGTCCCAAAGACAAGTTCTCAAAAATAAATTAAACAATCGCTTTTCTAGACTTTTTCATCACACACAGAATTTATTTTATGATCTATTGGGGTGTTAATCACATTAGTAAAGAGATTCTAGACTTTGAGTTACTTGAAGTCTGTGAACAAAAGAATGAGTAATATAAACAAAAACCATGCTGCTTTTGACGTGTAGGCTAATGGATGTGTGGTGCTTTCTGTGGCATTTACAGCTGCCAGACTTGAGGGAACCCTCTATTGCTCATTTGGAGGAGTCCTAAAGCTATTCTCATCATTGAATTGACTCATTTGACCTTTGATTATCAAAATGAAACGTCTTTTCATTCTCTTCACATATACCCCCATGTCCAAATCAGATTGATACTTTACAGTTGTAATATAGAAATTAAATATGAGAAGTCCCCCATCAAGGAATTAGACTTAGGGGAAAATTAGTTTCTATTTGAGTAACCACCCTCCCTTACTTATTGAATGGCACCTTCTAAGTTTGTTTTCTTTTCCTCTGCACATCTGCTGGATTGCATTTTCTTTCTTTAGTGGGCTGCAGTTCTCCTTTAGTGAATCACTTCACTTTTCAGTATCCACTTGTCACAGAACAATGTGATATGATTTGAAGCATCCCTAAATCCTTTAGTTGGTGATCCAAAGTATTTTAGTTTATAATCCAGACCTCTGATGAAACGTGGCCTATAATGTAATTATTCCACCAGGTGAAAAGAAAAGGAATACGATTAGTTATGTAGCAAGCCAAAAGACAATGACATTTTGTTTAGCTTTAATTGAGAATTTGCAGTGTATTAGTTTAGAACCAATATTGATACTTTTAATCACAAAGGAAAACTGTTTCATTTATCAAAACTCTGTCTCTTTTTGCACGATGACCTTGTAAAGGTTACCTGCTTCCCCCAATGATCATGGTATGCTAAATTATGCAATTAGATTAATTAATTATTAAGATGCTGTTTACTTACAATATAGTCTTATCTTTAAATGCTGATGTTCTTCACTGCTCATTTTATTTGCACACATTTGGGACAACTGTACTTCAAAATTGTAAGGCAGTTAAAACTAGAATGAGAACATAATATAATTTTAATTCCTACTAGCAGCATGTAGTGCATGTTTCACTTAATATACATATTTTGTAAGGCTAGGTATGTTTCCAGAGACCGAGTTCCCAGATGAGTAAATTTCAGCTTTACTGAACTTAAGTATTTTTCCCCAAATCACAAAGTTAAGCAATAGGAAGAAAGATGAACCTGGGATTAGATTTATATTTATACCCTAAAATGTTTTTGATGAAAAAAAAATCTTACAGTGTATATCATTAGGTGTTCTGTATAGCATCTGTGGAAATTTGAGATGGGTTCTCTAAGCTCAGCCTCTACAACCTCATCCATGGAGAAAGTCATTAGCTAGCAGTTTTTACAAAGAAATTTCTGAGTCATACCTTAAAAATACCACCAAAGCCATTCAGTGTTAAACTTGATGCCTGACAGTAAACATCACATTGTTCAAAGAAAATTGATCTTATATCTGGCTTTATATCTTCAGATTTATTCATCTTTCATACAGTTTAATTAAAATATTAGTTATGGAAGAAGGAAACTTTGAGGAAGAATTGAGAACCCCGTGCCCTGTGCATATAAACCCAGGACAGTACTGTGAAGGTCTCCTCTCTAATTTCTTACCCCATCA